GACACTGAGTTCAAATAAAAACCTTGAATAAGTGAGAGAGTATTAACACAATGATAAAAGTTTGTTTAAACCTGTATTATACAGCACTTTTTGACAAATCTTTAGCAACCAATTAAAATTCTGAACTTTGGACTAACATAGACAAAAGATAAGAAATAATGATGAGGATTTATGTGTTTAAAGTAACTGAGATATAAGTGAAACTTCTATGTAGGACAGCTGTTGAAACATTCTGGCAGGATTCTGCAACCTGACTTTGTTTCATTTTAATTCCCTCTGAATTGCTACTAAGAAATGAATGGCAATACCTACCTATTTCTAAATAACACTAATTACCTTTTGAGTTGCTTAAAAATCAAGCAATGTCACCCCTAACCCTAAGTTTACTTTCATTAACATTACAAGTGCAATTATATTAAATGCTTATTACCTGGGGTTCCCAAGAGATTGTTGTCTCTCATGAGCCGATAGTCCTCATCACTGAGATTGTTGACGAACTGATAGAAGGCCTCCTCTCTGTCCAGGCGGTCCAGCTGCCTTCTGCGCTGTGACTCCGACTGGTCACTGCCACTCTGCTCTGAGCTGTCAGACCCCTCCATTGACTCAGAAGGGAGGGAGATCGAGGGATGTTCTCCAATCTTCAGCAAGATCCAGCTGCTGCATCAGAAACAAAAACAGCTGTATATCAACAATGGACAGATGCAACGAGTATAATTGACTCTGCATCTATTCAAATTTAGCTACACTACTTTGACTCCTTCCATTTAAGTATGCACAAAAGGAAATCGTAACCAAATACACTTTATTTTTAATTTAACATCTGTTAATGTGCTCTACCATCAGCCAGGGAGACAAACTCTGGTCAAAACCTAGCATCACATTCCAACACAGAATCAGAGGGAGAAATCAAACCGGTAACTAATGTTAACACGTTTAAAATCCACTGATTAACCAGGAAACCAAAAACTTAGAATGTGCAACACTGGGTATCTGAGACGCTGTGTTTACAGTATCATACAGTGGACTTCTCCCTACCGTGGTAAAACATGTGGCTGTTTAATAGTCACGATTAAAGTGAATAGTTTCACACAGAGAGTGTTTCAGTATCACATTGGAAAACAGTATTGGTCAAAGTCGGGATAAAAACAAAATGGCATCATCTAGCTTAGCCTGCGTTAGCTAGCAGGGCATTAGCATCGTACACGGTTGCTAGCACTGTCATCTTTAAATATGGCTGACTGTACGTGAGACCTATATTTGATGTAATATCTAATAAAATCGAAGTGATACGCGTCTTTAAACAGGCTTATTAAATGACCAAACAAACCCAACGGTGTAAGGCTTACAGTCCGCTACAGTGAGTTAGCTCCAATGTTATCTCCTAGCCGAGTGGCTAACCTCATTCACTACCAACGAGATACCCAATGTAAGCTAACGATAGCTTAGCTAGTAACTTCTTGATGAGAGTCCCCGGTAACATTACCTTGCCGTAAACACACATCATCCCAAATATAGCTGATGTCAGGAGACAATCATTGAACAGTTCCAACTAGAACACGAGGGTGTCATTAAAAATACACAACAGTTAGCATCACCGCAAGCTAACTTAGCAAACGATGTCAATTAGTGACGTTACGGGCAGTGCGTTAGCAGAGCAAATAGCTAAAAGTAGCTAGCGGATGAAAATAAAGGCCATCAGGGTGAATACAGCTCTGTCATCGATACACTACCTGTTCACTGATGTTCGGATGTGATCGTACAGCCCAGTCGTTCCTCTGCCACTCTCTGAAAAACGCTCGAATGTTGAGCTACGTGCGATTTCAGGATTCCATTTTCTTTCTTTTCGAAAAGCTACAATGATCTTCCGGAAACTGACGAAGTCCACACGCACTCTCCCCCGGGTTCAGTCTGGCAGGCAGACACGGGCACGGCACCAATCCTGGCGCACGAATTCAGGCTGAGCTGTCTGAGCGGCAGCCAATCACAGCGAAGGAGGCGGGCCGAGCTGCGCCGCTGTGTCTACCTGATAGACCTCACGCAGGGAAGCAAGACCTGAATTCCTCACCAGAACAGCGTCAGAAAGAAAAGGATGTTTGTTTTGGACGGAGCGACTCCGCTCGGCTGTAGCGCCACGATGCGGTTGCAAATATAAATACTCCAACCTTCTGCAGTATCAGGCTGGAAGACAAATATCTGTGAACACCAGTATCCTTAAATGGCCAACATACATCATCGTTTCATGGCTTTAACAATACCATCTGTCTTATGCACATAATCTGCCCTGGTGTTCAGTAGCATCCGATGATTTATGTCACATCATAAACTGCAGCAACTATATTAGTATTATAAAGGAGCCAATTATATCATTATCAAAGTAGTATTTAGTCAGTTTCTGACCATTTGTAATCCAGTATGGTCAAAATTGGATTAAATATACCTATGATAACGGCATAGAAGAAATATATGATACACATATCTGATGGCAAAGGAAGAAGTTCTATAGCTACACTCAAATTAAGACTATTTCCCTACCGTAAATGTTTTATTTGCTCTCACACTCTCACACCACATCGTTAAATGAATTGATTTCCGCTGCTTTGTCTTCAGAGGAGATGCACTTCATTTAAAGCATCTTCCTCTGCTTGTATGGTCATGAACAGGTAAAAAATAAAATAAAACAAATGTGTCAGGTATATTCTTGATTAACCCCCAAAATGTTTGACACAATTTTTGGAGATCATCCTAAAATGTATAAAATAAAATGCTACACCTGCAAATCTATCTCTCATAAAATCACGAGGTAACATTAGTTTAAATGAAAGTTCAGTGCAAAATGAATGTTTCCTCAAACTTAAACTTAAATAGATAGTTACAACAATGAAAAGAAATGTTCCAGAAATAAATTGTACTATTTAAGCACAAAGATTTTTATGAGAATAGAAATTCAGGATAATATTTTTGTTCAAATAATTAAGGTCAGGACAAAGGAGGTAGCTGTATCTGTATCTGAGAGTGGCAAATGTACAATACAGCATGTGACATATTGTATTTGTAATGACATATTAAATTAAAATGAACTAAATAGGGATATACAGTTTAATTTACTAACACTATCACATAGTATTGTATATTCTCACACAAACAAATGTTCAATTCAAACTAGGTCACAACATCCAACTCGTCTGTAGAATTCCGAAATTATATTATAACTCTGAAATAAAATGAACAAAAATATTGGAACTATAGATTTTTAGAGGTAGAAAACCCACAGGCCTATAGCAGGCCCTGGAAGTTTGAGTGGGCGGAGGTGGGACAGTATTGATACATCAGCATGTCAGCAGAGACACAGTCGTGACCCCTGAGCTGCTGGGGGGCATCTGCTCACAGGCCGTTTTTTAAACCAAACCTGCAAAAATATTACAGCTACAGCAATCACAGAGACGTTTTCATGAAAATGACTTAATTCTGCAATTTAATTAACACCCAGGAATAAAAAACCTTTCAGTGAAACCACAAGAGGCTAATGGGCAGGGGTTGAAAACCTCAGTAGTGCCTTAAAGCTATTGTTCTAAGGATTTATCGAGGATTACTGCAGTTCAATATTACCACGTTTTACACATCACATTTGCCTGAAAAGCTTAGTGTATAAATACATGTTTTTTCTTCGAATAACCCAGCGAACAAATTGTGTTTGAGTAATTGTGTTAGTTTCTCGTGATTTGACTCAATAAGTAGCTATGTGCCTACTTTACAAAACGCTGCACATATAGATGTATTGATTCTATTGTAGTGTTACTTTAGAATTTTCTCAGTAATGATAAAAAAGAAATGTATAAACAACTGTTCTACTGAGAGAGTCGCCTATGACTCTTTATGCAACGTGAACGCACACACCAACAAAACAACTCGGAACAAACATAATAACCACAGGTGCAACTCATCCATCGCAGCAGACGATCCATCTTATAATTTGCCTGCTCCCTTATCTGCTATGGGTGACTAAAGAACAAAAACAATGCTAATACCACCTGACAAATTTGGAGGCATACATCACAGGATCTGTTTATGGTCTGAGACAGTATCTCCAGCTCCAATTAAACATGCCAGAATGAGTTGCAGTGTGGACCACTGCAGCCCAGCTCAGAGTTATGGATGAGCAGTCACTCCAGCAATGCCAGGCCCTGAGTGCTAATTAGATATGACATTAAAATAACATGAGCCAAAGCCAGACTTGTGCAGAAAGTAAAATGCCTTTCGTCGAAGAGTCTTCTAGTGTAACAAATAGGGACAGGCTAATTGGAATTGTTGGTTGTATTTATGTTTACACGTTTTGTGAAAAGACCAAGCACTGAATACAGAAGATTATATTCTTCCCTATTCCTATTACTGTGGTAGAGGGAGGTGCCACTTACACTTCACTCCAGACATCTCAGTTAGCTGTTTGTCATATTAATTTATCATTTTGTAGGATTAATTGTTATTTCGAATGGATAAAATTTGTTTTCAAAGAAGCTAATAGTATGGAGATTTCATGCTGTAGTTACTGGCTACAGCAAGTCGTGGGCGGTAAAAAACACAACCCAACTCTCTTCAGAAAGCAGCATTCAAAATCTTATTTTAATTTGTATATTTACTCCATAAACATTATTACAAAACTCAGCAAGTTACCAATATTACATTATCACCATACAGGCTTGATCACAAATATTTAAAACCTTTGCAACAGTTACAAGAATATGAAGATTAAAATCAATTGCTGAACGAACAAAAACTCAAGGTGATAAAGAGGGGATAAAACAAAAATTAAAAAAAAACACACACAAAATGTGACCACGAGTCAAACTCTAACCGAGGCTGACACAGAGGATTAAGGGATTTAAGAAAATAAGTGGATCAGCTTTCGAGAAGACTACAAGAGGGGGAATTGTCGGCTGGTTTCACAAAAAATGGAGGGTGAGTAAAAGATTGTGCAGGAGATATGTGAGAAGGCACCAGAGTGTCTACAGGGACACACACACAGCTGACTGAAGACAGAGAGCAGGACGGAAACTCACCACATTGGGGTTGTAGGGAGGAGTGATTCTCTTGTGGTAAAGGTCGTCCCAGTTGATTGGAGAGAAGAAGGTGTGGTTCTTTATTTCTAACTATAAATAAAAGAAAGAAATGTACTTAATATGAATATACCATCTTTTTTAGAACTCCCTATTAAGAATTCAGATTCAAGATTGTCATGACAAATAAGTAAGAGAGAGAAATGCTGAAGCTTTGTCCTTGAAAAAAGTCCAAACCCTTTAAATGCTGTCTAAATTCTTGTTGTATTTTCAGGAGGGACTGAGACTAGTCCTCGGTTAAAGCATAATTGAATGTGGTTGCCCTTTGAAATTATCCTTTGTCTCAGACTAAGCTTATGTCCTGTCTGGGAAACCATCTGTTTTATTGTGCAGCTACAGTTGAGAATTTCTTTGATCACACTCACAAAGTCAGCGATGGACCCGAGGCGTCTGTGCTGGTCCTTCTGCAGGAGACCCACCAGCAGAGAGCAGACGGCCTCAGACTTCCCCTGAGGCAGCGGCAGCGACTTGTGGAGGATCCCATCATACATTTCTCCGACGTCACGGCTGTAGAACGGAGGCTGAAGCAAAGGGACAAATAGAAATAGAAAATTTAGCAAATTTGCCAAGATACAGTATATTCACTCGTAAGGAAACTGATCATGCAGGATATATGTTTTGTCTTATACCAGCTGTGTGTAAGGGAGATGAAGAGGGGGAAAACATTCACACAAATACAAATGAACATGAATGCAAAATACACACATTTTATATGTATAAAAACATTGTCAGCATAAAGTTTGATACTTGAAACATTAACCTGTACGTATGGACTGAATGTAAAGTAGTTACCACTTGCCTAATCCTAATCCTAACACTTAACTTTAAATTAGTTCTTAACCTAACCATAACCTAAATTTAAAACTTTTAGACTGATTAACATTGTGGTGACTTGTTTTCTTTTTTTGAAAAGGAAGACAAGTCCTCATAATGTGACTGTGTAAACAGATTGACTCACCAGGCTGTAGATCATCTCATAGAGAACTGCTCCCAGACACCACCAGTCCACTGTCCTGTCATATGGTTCCTTACGAAGAACCTCTGGAGCCAAGTACTGCAGACGGAGAGATGGATGAGGAGGGAAAGAGAGAAAACTCGATGAAGAGAAGAACAGACAGGATTTACTGCATATGACCTTTATAATCTCCAAGTCAGGTAGTTTGAATCTACTGGTGTCAGGTTGGTGAAAACTGGCTCATTCATTTTGGAAGAAAAAAACTCCCCTCCTTTTCAAAATGTTCAGAGGACATGGATGATGCATGTATGTAATATGACATAAGTCTTGCATGATCGTGACATGTCACTCACTTCTGGTGTCCCACAGAAAGTTGAGGTCGTCCCCTCCGGCTCCACACCTTCTTTACACAGCCCAAAATCTGTCAGTACCACGTGGCCCTGCACACACATAACATGAGCAGGCCTTCTTCACTCAGAGCAATGATATATATGTATATATACAGTATTTTACAATAGTGACAAACACAGATGAAGGGGTTTCTGACTTACCTGAGAGTCAAGAAGAATATTCTCTGGTTTCAGATCTCTGCAGTGAACATGAACAAGCAGATCGTCAATATAAATAAAAAAGATCACATGTGAGTTCAGCTCACATTTTTAAGAGATATGTGACCGTGACTGTGCGAGTCTGTCTGACCTGTAAACGATGTTGAGAGAGTGAAGGTAGCCGATGGCGCTCGCTACTTCGGCGGCGTAGAACCTCGCTCTGGGCTCAGAGAAACATCTCTCTCTCTGCAGGTGGAAGAACAACTGCAGCGACAGGAAGAGAGAGAGGAAGAGATAGAAAAATGCAGGGAGGGAAGAAATGACAGTAAGTAAGCCAGTAAAGAGAATACACACACAGACATCATGCAAAGCCAATATTAATTAAAACAAATTAAAATGTACTTTCACTCATGGTGTGGGGTAAAACACCAGCTCATCAGCATAGAAGAGGATTTCATTTGTCTGATTTCACAGTCTAACTGTTTTAATGTCTTTCTCTGGCTTCCAGTAAAACAAAAACTGATTCTTTTTTATTCAAGTTCACCATCGACAGACCTTACATTAATCTATTCAGTCTCAAAAGCGTACCTCTCCCCCGTTTACATAGTCGAGGACAAAGTAAAGCTTCTCAGGTGTCTGGAAGGAGTAGTGGAGCCGAACCAGAAACGGATGTGTGAGACTCTTCAGCAGCACGTTTCTCTCGGCCATGATGTTCTTTTGCTGAAGAGAGAGAGGAGAAAGGTGAGACAGAAGGTAGAGAGGGAGAAGAGGCGGTCCGGTGGTGCTGTGCAGCATCGACCGTCCTGTGTTTTCGTTAATCGTCCTCCTTTGAGAGGCTAACTGTCAGTTGTGTTATTTTCTGTGAAACTGTAAATCGTTTCCTGATCTATCCGGTTTCATCCTCTCTTTTTAGTTCCTAGTTTTGAAATCCCTTGAATTTCTGGGGAGGTAACACCTGCATATATGTTAAGTTCTAAATAAATACATTTAGATCACAGACCACAGAAGAGGAAAGTAATTAACTAAGCAACACTACCTGTAAATCATTGGGTTCATTTTAGTTTTAGTGTCTCTGTAATTATCATATAATTCATGATAAATACTTGATTCTTTTCACTGTTGTTCCTGTTTCCTTTCTGCTGCACACGGTTTACAACAGGCTCCAAGATAAGTAAAAATCCTGTGACTGTAAATGACAGCACACTGGTGAAAGTACCTTTGTGTTCTTTGACGATACAAATGGAAAAAACAAAAACAACATGTGAATGAGTTATTTTTATGCTGATGCTGCAGCATAAGCCAGATAATAAGAGCATTTATCACAATGCCACATGCACCCTAATGACTGCGATACCTTTTTCAGCCAGTCGTCTCACAAAGTTATACCAACTTGGTCTCTGGGAATAGTCTCAGAACATAATAGAGTTTTTTAAATGTAAGTCTATATTCATGAAATATGATGAATGCACAATGACAAACGTTAATCAACAGCGAACACAAGAGGACGCTCACAAGATGAAGCTGCGACCAGTGAAGCACTGGAGCAGTATCACTGCCTGCTGAGCTGCTCGGCCACAAACAAGAGACCAAACGTAATGAAGGAGAGAAGCTGAGGACGAAGGTGGAGGAGGATGAGGAATAAAATTTCAGGTTTCAACCCTGATCCACTCAAGGACTTATTTGCCATCAGAGCAGATTGCATTGCCCTGAGGAATATTGTGTACTGTGTTATTGCATTTATTACTCGAATTGCAACTACTAATTACTGATTTTCGATGATGCTTCACATCAAAATATAAAAGATAAAGTGTTATGCTCCTGTGATAGACTACATGACGAGATGTAGGTTTAAACACAGTGATGACCCTGCCTCCTTTTCTCTCCTTTTTCTTTTCTTTCATATTACATATGTTTTGTTTACAGGTACACATGAGTATTACTAATCTATACTACTACTAATACACTATTTTCTTTTGCTAATGCTATTTATTCAACATTTCCAACTTTATCTGTAGTGATTTCAGTCATACTGTGTCACTACGTGTTGTTGTTCTCACACTGCCCAAAATAATTAAGATATTAATAAGAAAAAAGATGGAGGATGGGAGGAGAGACGTCTGAGAGTAAAGAGTGCATAGGAAAGAGAGGAGTCACAAAGGGGATGTGAGGAGGGGGGAGCATTATCACGAGGGAGAGGCGTGTGAGGGGAAGAAGAGGAGATAATACAGTGTTTAACACAGAAGGAGGTGTGTCTCCTCATACTGGCAGTAGTGAGAGTTTCTGAACAAACCTGCTGTATACTGAAGAGTATTTAACCTGGTAGTTTGTGGGACATGGACAAGTTTTTAGAGCAATAAAAAATAATTGGTAATAAACCATTTCTCCTTAAGTGATTCGGCTGTGAAATGCAGTAGATATTCTCACTTGTTAAATGTTATTTTATTATTATCACTGCATTTACAGTTTCTTTAAAAATATAGCATTTTCAATTTAATATCTTGACCCTTACCTAATGAACAAGATCAGATTTATAGTCAACAACTATATAACTTGAAAGAAAAATATTTTTCTTTTCATTTAAAAGCAGGAATGTCTGGGTTTTAGAGTAGATATTCATGTTTTAATCATACACACTGTATTAGTCTAAATGCTGTTTCAGTCAAATACTGTATCTTTGCAATGTTTCAAAAAGAAACTTCAAATAAAGTAAATTATATTAAACAACAGCACAGTGTAACTTTTTCTTCCTGAAATCTAAAAGACTGCTGTCTTTAAATAAGGTTTCATAAAAAAGACAGAGGAATTCCTCTAGAAACAGAGGAATGACGTGGACGAGTCGTCTCCGTTTAAAAACCACACAAACAACAAAGTGTTTAAGCGGATAATCTCAGTCTCACTGTTTATTTTCTAGGAGTCATAAAAATTGTCCTTTGTACAGAACAAGCTGAAGATTAGATAAGATTCAGATCGTGTTGCTGGGTCAAAACGCTGTTTACTAATAACACTCAAAGATACTTGTACACACACACACACACACACACACACACACACACACACACACACACACACACACACAAAGATTTTTTCTCTTGGCTCATGTTGAGATATTTTCCACCTTCACCTGCTTCAGCCTGCAGTTCAAGCTTCAGATTGAGGGTTTATATCAGTTTGTATGTTTATTTTCACTATTTCACATCATATAATTCTGTGAGTGTAACTAGTAACTATTTGTGCCTGTGTTAATTAACGTGCAAAGTCCCTTTTAAATATATATGTTTATTTATATATAGTATATTTAAGATAGTATATATATAACTCTCCTTTATCGAGCTGAGTCTCTGAGCATGAGAACTAAAGTGCTTTAACGTTGCATTGCAAATGATGAATTCAGAAAGAAGCAGCCGAGATCAGAAATGTCAACGACAGCAGCACCCACCTCCTTTTTCTTCAGGATGACCTTCTTCTGCAGCACTTTGACAGCGTAGAATTTGCTGTCGGCTTTGAGCTTGGCGAGCAGGACCTGCATGAGGGGTTTGTTTGTTAGTGCTTTGTTTGGTAAACAGTCGGCGCCACCATCGCCACAGATCGCTGTCAGGACACTGCATTAATCCTCTGTGAGATCAGCACACACAACACAGATCTGTGGAAACAGATGATCCTGAGATATCTGAGAGGTGTTTCATATAAAGAGAAAAAGGAGCGTCCTATAAACAAAAATAACACTATTCATTTGTTTAAATTCAAAGCTGCTGACAAAAGGAAGTATTCATATAAAGAGTGTGTTGTATAGTTCATGTGAAGCACTTCTCTGCTGCTGTCGGACTCTTCTGTTGACTGGCTGATGTTTGGGTCTCAGTGGACTGCGCAGTTAATCATTCATGAAGCTGGCAGCACATTGTGATCCGACAGTGGTGAGCTGGTCCACTCTCTGACCCTGTGAGAACAACTAGGCTGAGAGTGACTCTCTATCTATATGACCCGCCATTAATTCCAGCACAACAGATTAATTTTTCACGTCCTCAATGCAAGGTCACAACACAGAGGCCACATCTGCTTTAATCACTTTCACTGACGAGTCTCTGTTTCCAACGTGCGACCTGATTGTGTCGCAACGAGGAAGCATTTTCAGACTCATGGATATAAATAAGTAATAGTTGGAGTGTTACCTTTCCAAAGGTCCCTTTGCCAATGACGGCCAAGAAGTCAAAGTCAGTGGGCCTGGCACTGAAACAACACACACAGAGTAATGTATTAAATGCATTATACAAGATTGCACAATAACCCCTGAAGAGCTGCATCTGTAAGAGCTGCAAAAAGTCACCAGCCAAAAAAAGTCATTCGCTGAAAATGATTCTTTCAAAAAAGTGGCCGTTTTCACCTCCGTCATGTTTTCATCCCTGACCATTTGTTGGTTTGTTAGTTAAGAGCAAAGCCACTGAACAGATTACCATGAAACTGACATGGTAGAGGTCAGGGAAGAACCCATTCAGGTTTGGTGCTGATCAGAATCACAGGGGTGTTGGTTTGTTTGTTCGTCAGGGGGATTACGCAAAAACTGCAGAACATTTTTCAAATTGGGCGTATCTAGGGGACCCATTTCTATGAGTGTGGGTAATTTGGTGCGGTTGAAGTAGAATATGTTATTTCTAGATTGGGAGCTCTGCAGTGTGTTAGAGTAAAGAGAGCGATATGCTGGACAGTGAGAGCAGAGCTACTGACTGTGGGTTCGCTGAAGGTCCCAGGTTGACATCATCATGAGATGAGGAGGATGGTGACCACATCTGGAGAATGAAAATAAAAATAAATACAATTCAACACACTGAGGACTGAAAACCACAAACAATTAGTAGTCACTTTCATTCACTTGCACCTCAGCAGCAGGTGTTAAACCAGCATTCTGTTTAGTACAGTGTCCTACCTCCCTACATACCTACAGTATCTATCTATCTTCTCTACGTTGGCAACAACATTGTGCATTACAACAATCATATAGTACCTAAGGTGTGGGACAGAGCCAGGCCAGTTTCTCTTCTTTTTATTAGCATCACTTTTCCTCCAGAATCTTTTAAAAGCTTTTTTTTTCAGATTTCTTTGTGAAAAGCAAAACTTTTGCAGCGTGAAAATGTTTTTAAAAATATACAGAGTTTCAAATTTAGCTGGCTTCATGTGAACATCAGTTGTTGTGACAAATCAGTCTCTCAAAGTGAGAGTGGTTTAATATGAGCACATTCAAAATGAATCAATTTTAGATTGGAAATAGAATTGTCTTCACAAACTGGGAAACACAGTAATTTATTAAATAGACAAACCTTTGTTAAGTAGAATTTAAACATAACTGGCACAAAATTAAACAGACCAAGGCCCAAAACACAAGCACTGAAATGTACTCACATTACCGTCTGCCATTCCACTCCCACTGCAGAGTCAGCATCATGAGAGGAGAAGAGGAGAGAAGGGAGGAGAAGAAAGAAGAGGAGAGTTTGTCACAGTTTGTGAACGAAAATATCAACTTTTATCCTTTGAACTTTGATATTTCTGCTCATGAGAGGCTCATGAACTCTGTCTGTGTGTGTGTGTGTGTGTGTGTGTGTGTGTGTGTGTGTACGTGTGCGTGTGTGTGTGTGTGTGTTTCCGAATCAACCCGCTGACCTCAGTGTGACACCACAAGGATGCAGAGCGGCTGGTAATTTGGGTGTGTAAGAAACAAGATGCTGGAAAAGCAGACACACAATAAATGACATTGTGAGTATATTATGTGGGTGTGTGTGTGTGTGTGTGTGTGTGTGTGTAGGGACTGTATCAATGAACATGTTTATATAGTAAATATTGCTGTCTCAATCAAATCTGTCAAAAAATACGGGATCACCAGGGCGTCTCTCTCTCTCATGCAAACACACACACACACAATAAAAGTTGCAATTTTTTCGATCTATTTAAAGGCATAAAGAAAAAAGATGAAAATGTTGGTATTTAACTGTTTAACTAAACTGTAATTCTATAAATGGTGAAGACACACAAAAACGTCCCAAGCTTCAAACACCCTGACACACCGTACGAGAAGATAAGACTACATGGCAACAGACACAAAGCATCTATGTTTAAATATGGAGCAGGACAGATGTACACTGGGCACATCCAGTTTTGATTCATGTTTCCTGATGTAAAGTCCTCTATATGTTATCTGAGAGAGAACTGAAGAATTCCACACTCTGTCCATCAAATCTTTCTTTTCAACAAGAGAGTCTGTGATCTTCTGTCATTAAAAGTTTAATCACACGACTAACCTTTGCTTAATTGTTGGCACATGTCCATTCAGCCAAGTAGTTTTCATGTTTGTGGCAGATCTACTTACAAAACCACCGTGTCTACATGTTGAACACTGTGACAGGACATGAGCTGAACAAAATATTTTCTTTGTGATTTGAACTAAGCCTAAATAATATAACAGACTTGCTGAATATGGCTGTGATCATCAAGGTGAATCATTCAGAGCTCTGAGAGAAGGATTGTCAAGAAATAAGAGCAGAAAAGAGGGATTTACCAATAAGACAGCACGTCAGCAGGTTCATGAATGAAGATAAATGTCTTAATAACAAGCATCATCCACAGGCAAGTTAATCTATTTCCTTCAAATAACAGTAAGAGACAAACAGCTGCAGGGTGTCTCAAGGTTTATTTCTCAGAGTGAGCAGCAGACTGTGGATCACTGAATCAACACTAAACTAAAAGCTAAAAGAAATCAGCCACGGTAGAACAGACAAGAGATGTTTTCTTTCAGTGTTGAGACCCTGACTTAACATTTACTTAATCCTTCAGATGTTTTCATAAAATAATCTGTATAATAGTCTCCTTGTGTATCCTCAGAACCACTAAGAGCCTTCTTTAGAATGTGTTATCATAGACTTTTATTTAAAGATAGAAAAAGAAGTTAAGCGACAGGTTACCTAGTTAAGAACATATTCATATACAACCAGTAAAATATATGATTTTCTTATCACAGCCTGAACTCTGCATTGGCTAATTCTGATACCACAGGGGATCAATGACCTGATGTGACTATAAACCTGATAAGTATCACAGATATCATTGTCTGTGTTGGATCACACTTCTCAAAAACAACACTAACGAGGAGACAAGAGAGACCCTCCACAGAAAACAGTCTCTGAGCTGTGGGACCAAACCACGCACACATCAGTAATGTGGAATCAGGAGTTCGCTCACCTGTGTGCAGACACTTGTTCAGGTTCAGGACTGAGGCTGATCTCAGGTCGGTTCTCAAAGTCAGACAGTATGAAGAAGGTTCACTTCAACAGAGTGAATCATTGATGGACACTTTCTGAGTTTAAAACACCTGGGCGGAGCTTGTGTGTGTGTGTGTGTGTGTGTGTGTGTGTGTGTGTGTGTGTGTATGTGTGTGTGTAATGTCCTGAAGCGTAACCTTGTGTGTCTGATCCACACGTCAAAGTAAAGTAACTTCCGGGCGCTGCTTTTCTTTCAAAATAAGACAAGTAGCAGGAGAAGAGTTATTTTTTTCCCTTATTTAATCATCTATATTTTGATGTATAATTTCAAATTAAGTTTGAGTTGCATAAACATAATTAGGCTTCACCTTAACACTCTTAATGTTTACAGTGTTGTATTTGATTTTGATTTATATTGACTTTATTGACTCTATTCTTTTTTAATTATTTCATTTTGTATGAAACATTGCTCTTATCGCTGAGCTGACATGTTCCTTTCAACACTTTTCATTGTACCGTTGACCCTGCATTCATTTACATACACACAAACACACACACATTTACAAAGACATACTGTAGTTACTAGGAAAAACCTCATTCTTTTGACAAACAAATAGAAAAGCTGCATTCTCGTGTCAAACTCTGGACATGCACCTTTTGCAAAGTGAAGCCCCTTGAGCAATTTTCCAATCCTGCAGATAAGCATGCTTTTGTTTTGAAAGCACCCACCACCAGTCTTCTTGGCATACTCCCTTCAAAAGATATAGATCCTGCTCACATGCTGAACCCTCCAGTCTGAAACATTCACCATGCAACAGTTAACTGATGCTTGGGTTCTGCTGTGTCAGGCTGCAGCAGCATGTCATGTTTTCCTGGCCTCTGCAGCGGAACGTGAAGGAGATAAGCAGCCAGAGCAGAAAAAGGGCGTGAGAGGAGTTGTCACCACCACAGACAACTGTTGCTGACAATATGGTCGATGGGGGGATGTGATGCAAGCAAAATAAGTTTATAGTCAATAGTGCAACAAACACAACACACCTGCACAAGCACAGGAAATGCAGTGTGTGTGTGTGTTTGTATGTGTGTGTGTGTGTGTGTTTGTGTGTGTGTGTGTGTGTGAAATCGATCATATAAAAGAAGAAGCAGAGACTGTGAATCAGACAAGACAGCTTTGGACATTTATTAATTCATATGGATTGAATGGCATTTGTGACCCGAGATTATCTTCACTTGCACACTCACACAAACTCTCTCACACACACACTCACTCACACACACACATGTAAATCCCATCAGAGAGACACACAAAGAAGTCATACTCCAGGAGCCCTTAAAACTTTCCAGTAAAATAACTTTTCATCTAACAATATCAAATCCATCCTTTTTTTTTTAAACCTATTCTGACATAAAATGTAAACATTTGAAAGAACAAACACTCTGAATGGAATTTCCATCACATCTGAACAATAGGCCGCTCCACTGGCTCCACATCAAATCCATGTTTATAGTGCTATCATGTGGATTTTTGCACTCTCTAGTGACCAAGTGTGAGAAAATCATGTGTAAAAATCCACTTGGATTTCACAGTTGTGCTAACATGCCAATGCAAAGTGTCTATTTCATCTATTAAGATTTGTAAAGAAAATCACTTTTTTTTATGCAAAAGTAAAAACACTGTTGTTTCTGACTCTAGATTGGAGGGTACGATTTTAAATGAGGGCTCTGGTTATCACTTCAGTGTTCACAGTAACGGTGCATCTGCCACAACACTACACCTTTCTCTGATAGTCTGAACAAAGTAGCTTATTTATTTAACTTCCATTGTATTCTATTAGAATTAGTCTGATAACAAAGTAGCAGCAATATGAAGTGTTGCTGTATACAGTACATCTGTCTCAATATTTTTATATTGCACAAAACGTGAAGCTTGTAGCAGCTTCACTGACCAGCCTCAGCAGCTGCATTAAACTGGCCACATGTCCCTCAGCCCACAGTCCCCCCATTTATTTTCTTTTAAACAACATTGATATTTTTCACAGTTAGTTAGTACATCTGGAATTTCAGTGTTTTTAACTAATGGTTTTGTCCAAACAGGCAGCAGTTTCTCATGAAGATGAGGTCTTGTGTAAAGTTCGTTTTTTCCCAAATTCCCCTGGCTCCTCACCCGGTCTGAGCTCAGTTCCAACTGACCTGTGGAACAGCTTGAATTAATAGGAACGATACTCATTCAGGTAGATAACATATTAAATCAGTTTCTGAGAAGCTCCAGTGCAGCTGTGAGTTGCAGCATGATTCTTCTGCTTCTCCAGAAGCAGGTGCCACAACAGCTGGATATTCAAAACAAGTGGCGTTTGGTAGTCTGGTAAAAATCGAACTGTGATACTGAACCAATCTCATCAATTGTAAATCCACCAAACTATAAAAAACGTCTGTTGGTGCCCCTCACCTGCTTCTGCTGCCTTTTATCCACTCTTCACAGTTTGTCCATCATCTTCATGACATTCCTCCATTATTCCCCAAAAATATTTGCATTGCCTTATTTCCCTTTTTCTCAACACCCCCCACCCCCCTCTCTGATGGGTACAGGACACCAAACACATGAAAAAAGGGGTCAGGGTCTTTTTCCCTGCAATAGAATGAATTTGGCACATAATGATTGGTGGTCCCACTCCCCCCATGCCCACCCTCCCAATGAGCGAGGGCAGGATCACTTAAGTCCCTCGTCTGTGCTCTTGAACATGAGGATGGCGTTGGAGATCTTGAGGGCGGGGCCAAGCTTGATGCTCATGATTTTCACAATGTCGGTCTGGGTGAGCAGCAGGAAGGCCTCCCCGTCAATCATCTGCAGAGACGCAACAGTGGAGATGTCAGTGGTCATAATCACGGAGGGGTCAACAAAATAAAAGAAATATCTTATTATACACCCTGAAACTGAGATTTGGACAATATTATAATGTTCCCTTTTCTTGAGATGACCAAGTGTTAATTTGAGATATTTTCATTGGGGCTAAAGAGTTGCTGAAGAACATAACGGAGACAAAGGGGGAGTGAACATTGGACACAAACTCAATTGAATGCTAATGTTGATCCATGTCACTCATGATCAAGCCCCTGTTAGGAAATTGTCAATATCAGAATTAATAAGTGATAACAGGCCTATATCATATCTTAACAGTTTCTGCTCTGCCACTGACAGTGTGTCTTCAGTAAAGAACTACAGACACATAGCAACACTGAGTGAATCACAGCAAACAACTGATGTTTAATACTATTAAGTATTTTCCCTACACAAGTGTCTACAGTGCAACATGACAGCTAATTATGATGATGTTGTGTGGCTTTATTCACGAGCACTCAGTGGTCTCACCTCGTCTTTAAACAGACGAGCTTGTTCTTCACAGCCGATTAGATTCTGGACAAAACTGGAGACCTGCAGCGTAGAGTACACATATTTTGAATAATCAAAACAGTTAGAGATTTCAGACACATCAGAGAAAATAAATAAATAAGAAAGTAAGCAATGATACTCACTGACCTCTTCAACGTTCCATGCCACTACCTGGCTCGCGTGAATGCCCTGAACGCCAGGCAGCAGTTTACAGTGCTGCTCCCAGCACAGAGACAGTGTCCTGTCTGACTGGCCACTCAGCGCTGACATGAACAGTGATGGATACACTTCTGAGGACATGTCTTAGAAACACACATAAAAACATGTCAATATATGAACACTAACAGATTTTGACACATCAACAGTAGAAACAAAGTAGTAATTGATTCCATGTAGATGTCTTTGTAGAGGTAACTAGGCTTGGGTGTGTGTATGCAGACAGATAGAAAACTGTTTCTAGTGGATAAAATAAATGTGGTGGGAGATGATGGAGGAGCGTAGCCACTGAGCAAACAAGTTGCTGTCCATATCCCCTATGTTAATAAAGTTCAGTCAAAGAAGGATCAGCAAAAAACAAAAAAAAACTCACTCTGGTAGTCTCTCTGCTGGTTCTTCCTGTATTTGGGAGGACGACCGATCCTGAAAACAGAGAAAAACATACATGTGGGAAAAAAAATGAAACCTTCACATGCAACTATGCACATGCTTATACACATGCTTACCTGCCACGGTAATGGGTCTTCTTGGTTCTCTGGCCAAAGAAGAGATTCCTCTTGCACTCCGAGTCTGAAAGCTCAGCCTTCAGCCTGCCCTGGTTACGCTCAGCCAGCGGGCAGCCAGATATGCAGTGATGAGCGGTGAAACGACCAGTCACATGGCCTGAACCGTCACAGCCTGGAGTCGGACACTTCCTGTTTAAATGACAGAAAACCACGATCATATGGAAATCTGGCCTCAGTACAATTTAAAGGTTAGACTTGGTAAGTTGTAACTTTGACAATAGGGATGATGGGAGGGGGTGGAATGTATCGGTTGCATTCATTTCAAAAATGCACACTGCTCTTGCCTTTTAAAGGATTCCTAACCCTAACTTTAAAAATATAAACAATCACATCATTATTTCAAAGTTTGAAAACGTTGTCAATGCCTTTAAAGTCTTTATCTCAGGGACTGGTGTGTAATTTTATTGGTAAATAAAGCATTATTTTCGACCTGTTGTGGAAGCTGTACTTGTTGGATCTGGGGTGGCTGATGGGTTTGCAGGGAACAGAGGAGGGGTAGACAGACTGACCCGTAGCAGGAAGCTCCCTCACACCTATAAACACAAATACAGTCAGATGAGGCCTCACATGTGCACACACAGCAGGATGTTCAACAAACCCTCATCCCATGCTGCTTGGTGCAACATTATTTCTGTTATGAACTTACAAGCAGTGCAGATTTCAACATGCTAGATACTTTTGACTGGTCAGAGTAGAAAAAGAGTGAAGCAATGCGTGAGCTTATTATTTACACCTGTGCTTTTTCTGCAGAACAAATCTAAAGATCTTAATCCAGCAGCACACAAGATTATCGGTCCATTGAGTATATCGGCAACATTCATGGTATTCAGTTGTACTTTGCAACTTCACACACTAAGCCTCTAGATGTGTAAAAAGCATTGTAGTTGCTACCATGTGGCTCCTGTGTTTTGGAGTCCCGTGGGGGAATTTTCAGTGGGTGACCAGTTGCTTCACACCAGCCTGCTGGATGTATGTCTGGGTGATCTGAGTCCATCCACTCATCATAGACGTGACTCCAGCCGTCATAATGGATCTGAAGGAGGAACAGTCCAAACCATTAGCAACAAAACCCCAGCTGACAAGTACACACAGTAAGAGCTATAATAGACCTGAGTGAGAAACATTTTTAACAATATCATACATATACAAGATCATCAAATATTAACCTCAGACATTTTGTATTTAAACATCAAGGACACACACACACACACACACACACACACACACACACACAGGGTATTACCTTAATGCGATGAGTCTCGACCTCCTCCACTGTGGCTACTCTGATCAGACCAGGACTTCGCTTGTCCACGGCCTCCAGTTTCATCTGAGGTTGGAAGCTGTGGGCCACACGCTGGAGAAGATGAGCGAAGAACAATTTCCTTTCAATGAAGCATTGGTTTCACTTGCACCATTCTTACATAGATTCAGTAGATTGATACTGTGAACGAAGTCAAAAACTGTTCTTTGCTCTCACCACTTTAAATGCATCAGCAGCCACTGCCTTAGAACCAGTCTCCTCCAGGTAGTGAGACCAGGAGAACTGGGCCTGGTCTGGATAATCTAGAGAAGCAGCAAAAATAGAACAAAATCACAGTGATTAATTTGCCCATTAATTTCTCATATGACATCCCTTTACATGATCAGTAAATCCCACATAATTAATTGCCACACTCACAAGTATACATTCTGTGTGTAGTGTTTACATTTGAAAAATTTGACAGGGCAATGTTGAGGACATGGAGGAGAACTGGACAGGCTTGTTTTTTAGGTAAATGACCCATGATCGACTATAATGATCAACAGTGAACACACTGGTCACCTTGGGGTGGCGTTAGGGGCAGGTTCCTCTCCTGGCACCAACCAATCGGATGAATGTATGGACTGCTAGCATCACACCTGTATTATTTGACAGCCAACAACGACAACAACATTCAGTTTTGGTATAGATGAAATGATGATGAAGCAATGCTGCAATTTCATTGGAAAGGAAAAAAACCTGGTGAATTAAATGAGTTAGGAGGCTGCACAGAAAGAGCAGCCGAGCTGATGCTTTGTGACATGTTTACTATCTGGTTTAGTTTCACTAACACTGCATCCTGCAGCACCAGGGAGCAGTTTTAAATATTTGAATGTCATATGTGGGAATTTGCTGAACAGTTTAGATGACAAGGTATACTCAAAATTTAATGCAGATTGTTTTTTATTTTATTTCTATTTTATTGTTGGTCCATTTTTTTGAAAAGGAAAAAAATATATAAGTAAGATGTTGATGTTATGCTGTTAAAACCATATGAGGTACATGGATGCCACGTGCAGGTAGGAAAGAGCAACCTCAACTGACTGAGAGCTGCTAATGAGATGTGATTATGCTAGTGTATCTTTTACAGATGCTGGTAAAAATAAAACTCATTCTCATTCTCTCTAAAGGACGGGTTTTTCTATTGAAGTGTGCTATATATATTTAATAATAAATGTGTAGGACAGACAATGTTAGCAGCTAATAAAGAAGCAAAGATGTTAGTTGAGACCAAATCATAAAGAACACAAGGAGAAAACAAACTCAAAATTCCATAAAGTGTCTCTTTGTTTGCTGGATGTATAACTAGACTATTTTTTGCTATAACTTTAGCCGAAGCAACTTTATACAGTGATAATATGTCAGGGGAATTAGGCACTTTGTCTGCAAGCAGTTCTGTCCCTCAGTGGCCACGTTTAGATGAATGCAGGCCCAGCACAACTGAAGTGGAAGTTGTGCAGCTCTACAGCTCCAGCAGCTGTTTGAGAGGAACAAAGGTGCATGGGTGCTTTAAACACGTAAAACTGTAGTTAACTGAGAAACTTCAGTTTGCAACAGTGAGATGCCTTAACAACATCTTTCTCCTGATGAAGGGAAATGCAGAGAGTACTGTTCTCAGTGTACATTTTAAAAAATTCTATCCATATCCCAAGTGTCAGTTTCTCCATAGCTGCTCAGTATCATAGTAATTGGATCATTTCCCAAATCTAATGTGTTCAGACAGACCCACCAGTAGTCATATGTGTCATCCCAGTTGTCAAAATGAACCAGGAAACGGTAGTCCACCATGTCAGTGACAGTCGCTACACAGATGAGGGAGGGGTTCATGCGGTCGACAGCCTCCAGCTTCATTCCCATCTCGAAGCTGCACTTCACGTCAATCTGAACAGAAAGCTCAGATATTGGAAACCTCAACTAGAAATGTGAATTCATGCTTGCAGATGTTATATTACATACTATATACAACAAATTATACTGTATAGCAGCAGTTACCCTGCCAGGACTGGCGAACAGTTCTTTGGGAGCCACTTGTGCTTTAGTCATTCTCAGGTAGTTGGTCCAGGTAAACTCCTCCTCTTTACAGCCTGCAGAGACAGAAAAACACAAGATTAACTTGATTCATCGTCAGCAAAATATTTAAAACATTTAGAGGAATAATTCAAGACAATGCACTCATTCGCTTTCAAGCCCAGAGTTAGATGAGAGGACTGATGCCACTCTCATCTTTACTGTACATACAGTACTAGTGTTTCCCCCCCATAAAGACACAGGGGGAAACAGTTTGTCTGATTCTGTCCAGAAGTGACAACAAACCCATCTGCATCACCTCACATATTTACTTAAGCTGCTTTCAGACATTCACTGAACTCAAGATAATCTCCTTACATTCTCAGCAGGGGCTGTATCTGAGAGCAAAAATGTCCATGTGAATGGCTAAGCACATCAGCCCTCTACTAAAAACTCTGGATAATGTCTGATGTGAGAAAACAGCAGGATATTCTATGGAGGATTCACAGCAAGCAAGTGGGCATGTTGATGATGTTTCTAACATGCGAGCGACGCAAAACTGAGAAAAACTCAAAAAATACATCTCAGGATGACTACGAAGGACTATTCTCAAAGAAGACACAGAAAAAGATGTCAGGAAAGCCTTTGGGAATGAGGCCAGATGCTGGTGTTGATGTGCTGTAAACAAAAATATGTGATCTGCACCACCCCACCTGAACGCTTCAGAGATTTCTGTGTTGTGAATGTTTCGGAGCAGAGAATCTCCTGCTGCGATGATCAAATGTGAAAGGTAACCTTCAGAGAAAGTCCAGACACCATTAAACAGACATTTTCAAGAGTTCATGTCTGAAAAAGACTTAATTACCACTTTATATCTTATCGTACTTGTATGGGTTAAACAAATTAGATAAAAAAGGTCAATTATAGTTTAAATGCACATAAATGTGTTACCTTTGCTCAAAGCTAGTTTCTTTAGAGCTAATTCTCTGCAGGCTCATGCTTCATATTTACTCTGTAGACGTGAGCGTGGTATCAACCTTCTCATCTAACTCATGGCCAGAACATGATGAGTGTATTTCCAAGAGTTTCAGTCTATTCTTTTAAGTGATAAGCTTCGTCCTCTGAAAGGGTAAACATAGTCTTTGGTCTGTGTACACTTTGTTGTCACCTCTGACCTTTGGGAGTGTGCAGTTTGTGTCCTGTGCTCTCACACCAGCCTGCAGGGTGGATGTCGGGAGAGTTTGCATTCACCCAGAAGTCGTGACAGTCGGAGTAGCCATCAAAATGGAGCCGCAACCGGTAACCACAGACCTGGACATGACATGACATGAGAAAAACAAAGCCAGGCTGAAGGAGATGACACCTGGCAGGACTCCTCCTGCATGCAAAGCAGTCTGTGAATTGACTGAAAGGGATTTTCAATTCTAAATAATCCCCCTGGTCATTAAGATCCATGGACCGTGTTAATGGACGTGTGGCTCACCTCTGCCACAGTGAGGACAAAGTACATGGACGGATGCTGTGGGTCGATGCCTTCCAGCTTCATCCCCTGTTTAAAGCCGTTCTTCACTGTCGGCACTCTCTGAGACTAGACACGCAGGATGAAAGAGCAAAATATGTCAGTACAGAACAGACAATAAGATAAAATTAAGTGAAATAAAAATCCTCCTTGTGGGAAAATTGGTTCAGAGGAAAGATAAGAACACAGCAAATTGACAAGCAGAGTTACAGAAATGTTCTCATAGTGGATTTTTACTTCCTTTTTCTGGAGACAAAAAGTCTGTGGCCAAGCTCAGATTGCAAAATGGTTAGATAGTTCAAGAAATAAATGTATTTAAAAGAAAACCACTTCAAGAACCTCCTCAACCGTACACTCAGTAACACGCTGGCTGCATGCATCACTTTCTCCAAGCTAAATTTACATTTCTCATCTCCTCCCTTGACAATGATGTACAATGCCAACTGGGTCTACCCTGTCCTATAAAGATAGCTGCAGTGGTCGTAAAAGAGGCAGTAAAAAGAAAAAAAGTATGGGTATACTGGGAGAAGCTGTGCGTAGGTAACATGAGTTCAGGCTGAAGCTGCAGTCTGAATATTAGAGTTTAACATACCTCTTGGAAAAGCTTGTTGGGAGCAGCAATAGCTTTGGTTTCCTCCAAATACAGAGCCCACGTCCACTGCTCTGTCTTACTGTCTCCAGCTTCCCCAAAAACACAAATTAAAGGAATTTAATAACAGATGACAGACAAGAAGTCAGACTGGGAAGGAAACAGACTCATCAGCAGCTAATGTTGCAAGATTGCTGCTTCTGTAATATTACAGGCAACTTCTCAGCAAAATGTTCATCGAAAGTAGAATATTAAAAACAACCACTACAACTTTAGGATCAAATAACTGTCTCACAACAAAATCCACTGAAGAAGCATTATAATAAATAAAATGCATTTTTTTGATAGCGTCAGTATTTTTTTAATTCAACTTGAAGTTAATTTTAGAGTCATAATTTATTGCTGTTGTTTTATGGAATTGCATTATATGACCAGAGATATGTCATCATTATTTAACTTGTTAAGATGTTGCCTGCTTAAGTGAAAGGGGAAAGATAAGATAAAAAGATACAGTAAGCAAATTAACAAAAAATTATTGATGAAATGAGACCAACAGAATGACAAAATTATTATTCCAACCTGCTCTGATGTGTCGGCTGTCTGCTTTAGAGTCATCCATTTTCTCATCCTAAAAAACATGTAATAAAACTGGTGTGAGTGTAAAGCCACGGACAGAGTCACTGAATTAAAGCTGATTTTGATTAGAAAACAAAAATCTTGTGTTATTTGCAAGGACTATTCAGTCAGCTTTTCCCACCATATCACTCACAATATCTTTAGTCATGAAATGCCAAAGTCATGCACATTCGAATAAACTCTTCAGATACGACAACATCTGGCTATCTCTTGGTCATCCCCAGATGTTAAGTGGAGGTAAAATGACTGTCCCACCGTGCCCTCCATGTCGGAGTCTTCCTCAGAGGGACTAAGGTACTCCTTCCTCTTCCTCTTCCTCATGGGTTTCAGGTGATCAGGGTTAAGTGAGGACACCCTGCCGCCTGCCGGCACTTTCTCCACCCCAACGCTCCTCCTAAGGTGCAGAGAGCACAGATACCATTCCTCAGGTCTAAACACATCACCACACTCTGAACCACTACCTATTTTTTTGTAGTCATGCAGTTTATTTATACCTTGAAAACTCAGCTGGGTGCCTGTTTATCAAATTTTATATGCCACTAAATTTGACACTGTACTTTCCTGGGCCAAAAACAACACACATGCCAAGTGTGAAGCCGATGAGATGAATAGTTTGCGAGTTATGAGTTCCACATACAGACAGACAGACAGACGTTTGTAGAATTAGTAGGTATACATATACATATATATATATATAAAACAATGTACTTAGAGATGCATGAGAGATTATACAGGAGAAGCAGCCACTGTGAACACACCTGTCAGTGATGGGCTCTCTTCGCAGCTCCTCTGTGTAGGGCCTCGGCACTCTGGGATCATGGTTAAGTTGTCCCGGTCCGACCTGAACTTCAGGTTTGACGGGAACCAACCTCCCAGGCTCCACAGCTGCTGCACGCACGGGGCCTACAGTGGACAACACATCTATCACATCAGGAACAGGCGAGTCAGTTAAACTGCTACAGGACGAAACTGACAGTTGATTGAATCCAAATGCATTGGTTAAGTGACTGGAATTTACCTGTATCTCTAGTCTATCATTACTTCTGACATGTACTTGAGTAGTTATTTCAATAAATTGTAGTTCTGAGAGTAGTTGTTTTGCAAAATACTTTTCACTCTTACTCAATTACGTTTATGATGAAAAAGAAATACTTCTGCGTGAGTGTAACAACTGCTCCGTGGATCTGGTTTCTGGTTTCTGGTTTCTGGTATGATCACTGTATTTCCTTGAATAAAAGTACAGCTATATATGCAACTAACTGTGAGGAAACTACGCTATGAAACCATGCATCTTCAGGTCCTGCTTAACTCTAAAATTATTTTTAAAACAAAACCTTGTTTAAACAGCATAAACACTGTAGTGCTTTTACTTTGAAAGGGGTACAGGAAATAGAGTAAATATTTATTTTTGTATCATATTCAACACATGAACATTAAAACTGTGGTGAAAGGTCATTTTCACTGTCTATTCCGATGTGAACCACGTGGCACGTGGGGAAAATAGGCAAGACCACGATTCAATAGATGGATGTTTTAAAAACATGTGGAGAAATGGTTTATTACTGAAAGGCTACTGAAAATTACATGCCTGAATTTATTTTACATATTTTAATTAGATTTACTTCATTTAGTGGAATACATTGTTCTATAATGATTGCATAATAAGCCACTCAAATGTCAACACCAACACCATGTGCCTATATTCGTGCTCTTCACCTGTTTACTTTACACAACCCAGTTTGGAAGATGTTTATTATATGGTATAGAATTCTTTTGTTTAATTTATTGAAACATTATTTCAATTTTTAAATGTCTGCGTCTTCTTATCTTATGTTAATTAGGTTAACATTTTCTAATTCAATTTCAGTGTAGGCTGCATCCAAGCCTTTCCTGGGGGGATTCAGTGAAGGTTTTTTCTTGATGTTTCAAAGCAAACAGTACTTAACAGCATGTTTTTTTGGCATTTTCCTAGTTTTTAATGTCACTTTATTAATTACAATCAATGTGCACTTTGCATTACTATTTTACTCTTACTCAAGTACTTTTTTATGAGTACATTTACTTCTACTTGAGCGATTATAATTATAAAGTAACAATACTTTTACATGAGTACTGTTTCTATTTAATCTACCCACCACTGTTTCTGTATAAACTTGTTCACTTTTCAGCAGAATTTGTATTCTCCAAACATCTTATATTGATATTTTTAACATGAACCTGCAGCTTCATTATCTTCACTTGTCAAGAAGAGCTCTGCTGCATCTGATGTAATTCTTGCTCAATTCAGCTTCATGCACATTAGTCATTGTTGAAAAGGGCATGCTGCAATATATGGAAAGCAGCAGTTTATCATAACACCTACAACATGAGTATTTTTTTATTCTTATAATACAAAACTGTATTTATCAGATATGTACTGTTATATATGAGATGAACACGTGGTCCCTTTAAAAACAAAAAAAACAGTATTTCTGGGTATTTTTGTGTCAGGCATTGAAATTGGCAGCTACTACTTCAATCTAAAATGTAGTATTTCTTGCTAAGTCCCTGATGATACAACAACCTTATGTAACTATGAGTCTACCTGGCTTGTCTGCTGGAGCCCCTTCTGCGTCAGCGGATCTCCCAGAAGTCCCTGCTGCTAATTCAGCTGTGCTGCTGGTGGTCCCTGGGGTGATCAGTGTGCTCAGCGTTCCTACGTCACTCACGCAGAACTACAACACACACACACACACACACACACACACACACACACACACACATGCATCAATGAGTCCATCTGTCAAAATGTGTCCTGAGGTTTTATGATGTCTATTCAACTATTTATCAGACATTTCTTAAATAAGTACTCTGTCAGGTTGTTTCCAGTTGAGACTCTGATCAGAGTGTGGAGAAATAAATGGGATAATTTGAATGAGTCAAGATTTTAATAAGCTATTATCATTCTGATGACCTCTCACTCCTTTTAATTCGAGAAACGCTGCATCACATAGTTCATCTGGCTGTTTGGCTTTGTTACTGTGTTTGCTTCCATACTGACCCAGTGAAATGAGTTCCAGTGCTTTCAGTTTCAGGTGCTGAATAATTAATCAGTTTAATTCCACTGACTCATTCGACATTTACTGCAGATACAGGATCACTGTGTTCAAAGGTAAGTGGAAAAAGCCTCCCTGAGCCACAGAGAAAGGAATGGATGAGTGATGAGCCTCTTATCATGAAACACTGTCTGATTGGAAACCAGTCACCCACCATGCACGTGTGTGAGATCATCCAACAAGTACCCAGGGACGGGACTATCAGTGATCAGCACTTCAGCTTTAATTGTGTTTTTTTCTGTTGCTATTTTTGTCTACTTTTAAAGCCAAGAAACAATAGTTGTGTAATTTGTTATATGGCCTGACTGATTTATTGTACGCATGAGCCTTTCCCAATCATATGGGGAGATATGAAAGCTTTTATTCAATAGAATAAACCAGGCAGAAAAGTGTTTCCTTTACTCGCATGTGTTTAGTGCTTTCCTCTCTTGCCGCAGCTGATCTCGTGAACAGGAGTTTGTGATGTGTGATAATCTAATTGCTGTGGGAATAAGATCAATGAGACACCAGGAAGTGAGCCACAATCTATAAAGCTCTTAAAGAAGCAAACAAGCAGGTGAGAAAAGGCTTGAAATCCTCTCTGAAAAAGATGCTGTGAGGAGTAAAGGTTTGTTGTGCAGCAAAACAAACTGTTGTATATTTTTCACATCACTCACCTTGAGGTTGCTGCTGGGCAGGATGGCCATTCCCTCCTTCCACTCCAGGACATGGACAATGCTACAAGCCCCACCCACTTGTGCTGTAAGGGTGGGTGCAGCCGTCTGATTGGCCCTGACTCCTTTACCTGGGTCTCCCACAGCAACAGTTGGAGTCAGCTCCACCTTCTGATGACTAAGAGCAGGAGCTGAGGAAAGATGTGTTCAGATTGAGGGACTTGAACCCATGAGAATACAACTCAACTAACACATCGCATCACTTTGTTTTCTGTATTATTTTGTTTTTAAAAGAAAACTTAATTTACTTGGTTTACTTTACTTTACTTTTTTGATTCTGTCTTGTCTTTGACTGGTGTTTAATGCTGACATCTTTCAGAAAAAACATCCAGATTATCTCTGAGATGTCCTCTGTCCTATTATATCAGAATACAATAGTTACTATTATTTTTTCAATAAATCAATTGATAATTTAGTCTGTGAAATGTCAAAAATATATGAGAAGTCATCTTTAATTGTCTTACTTTGCATGAGCAAAAGTCCAAAACACAAAGATACTCAGTTTACTGTCACATTAGTAAAATGAGCATGTAGTAATTATGGCTGATTTTTTCTTAAGACGACTAATGACAAGGAGTTTTACTGATGCCATAGGCAGCGTCACAATGGACCAGCGGGTTGCATCACATCCTTGTTATAAGGATGACATCTGTTTGTTAAAGGATGGTCTTGCCAACACAGTCAGACCGGTGCTCACCTGGAAGGAGTAGAGCTGTGGTGGTGGTGTGGGGCTGCTGCTGGGGCTGCTGCTGGGGCTGCTGCTGGGGCTGCGGCTGCGGCTGGGGCTGGAGCTGGAGCTGGGGCTGGAGCAGGGGCTGGAGCTGGAGCTGGAGCTGGGGCTGGGGCTGGGGTTGGGTTTGGGGTTGTGGTTGGGTTTGGGGTCGGGCCTTCTTGGCCACACCATCACTCCCACAGATGAGAATGGTCTCACTGGGAGACGAGGAAGATGGATCCACAGATCTGTGCTCTTCTTTGGGTTGAGCCTCCATGTTCACTTTGGCACTCATGACCTGTCCCTTACTCCGGAGCGCTTAAATTCAGAGAGTATGAGGAACAGTGTAAAGCACAGGACTGAAAGGGTGACAAGTTTACAGTGTTACCAGGGTGTGGTTTTGTGGTTTGGGTCCTTTTTAAAGCCACCCTTGAAAAGTTATTATAGCTCTTTTTTAAATCTAGTAATTTATCATAATCTTTTTGTACTACTCACTCTATTAATTACAGTATTAATGTTTTATTAATACAATACACAGGAGGACAACACAAGGTGAAATCTAAGCACACTTTGAAGCTATGAACAAATCCTTATTTTACTGTCTTCCAACTTCATGTGTCAAATGACTCTTTTTGGTCCAATCATGACCCAAGTGATCAGCGGTAACAGTTTAGTTTAATTAACTTGAGGTGGATAATCACCCTGGGATTTAAGATCCACAGGTTACATAAAAGTCAGCAATGTGTGAACATTTTGGTTACTTGCACACATCCTTTCTATTGGAGCAGAACATCAATACTTTAAAGTATAAAAGCATAAAAATGGTAAATCATCAGATGATTTTGGGATGCAGAAAGTTGACAAATGTGGTCAAAAGCCAAGTTCACACAAACGTGTATCGACTGATGGTTTATTGCTCTGGTGACCAAAGACAGTCTGAGATGGCAGCTGCCAAATTCTGAATCAAACATACAAGGCAACCAATGACATACAATGCACTGGTTTACACAACAATGAAAGAACCCATAGATTTTCCAAAATAGTTTAGAATTTTTAACTGAATGAATCAAAGTCAATGAAACAAATAACTAATTATATGTTTGCATAATTATGTACATCGGTGCTATATGTTGTGTGCAGGCAGAAGTTGTGTCTACTTTGTGAAAATCCAGTTCTTAACATGCACCAAAGGGTTATTTAAGGTTAAACAGTAATGTCGATGAGACACCTGGTGTCACGAGTCTCATAAACTGTGCTGAAAATAATTAATCTATACAGACCCTGCACAGTTTGCAGGACTATCATGCTGTTTAGATGACGTTATCTCAGAGCAGAACTATTCAAGATATGATAGACTGAAAAAAAGAGAATGTGCTCACTGTTTCCAACTCTCGGTTTATGTTTGTTGACACGTTACTATCTCTGGCAGTCTGCCTCTTCCAGGGAGCTAACGTTAGCTAGTCTGCTGTGTGCAGACAGGCTGTTGTTTTGTCAACACGATGAACTGGTGTGCAAATGTTCAGTCTCTGCCCTGTTTGCAGTCAAAGTGATATTTTAAGAGGGTGTGCTGTAGTTAGTTGTGTTAAATGAAAAAGCATTTTTTTTCTCATAATGATGATACCCATTGAAGGTTTTTTGAATGTTATTGCTAAACTGTTTTTTNTTTTTGCATGTGTATTTACTCTCTGCCATTTCCTCTAAAATGGCTTCTGGATGTACAGAACCATTAAAAGACAACGTTAAAACTGCATGAGTATATTTTCCTGGAACTTAAACCAAATGAGACAAACAATAAAAACAATGAGGAGCAGTGTTTTCAATAGAAATGGCAGAACAGAGACGAGTTCCTCCATCAACAGCCATGATGACCCCGAATGACTTTTTAACAGGCGTGAATAATCAAGACATTAATATGTAAAACTACTGTGTTCACGAGCAGGCGTCAAACTCCACACACACCAAAATACAGCATTTCAGTTAAAATGGCGGAGGATGTGAAACCCTTGAGCCAAAAAACATAAATGAAATGTGTAAAAAATCAGTGTCTCAAACCCACAGTGAAAAAAATCCCATTTAGTGAAAAAGGAACCCTGTCACCCATTCCGCCAACATCTCCGGCTCACGGCAGCGTTAGCATGTCACATCTGACTCCGACCCCAGCGCCATTTCTTCGCGTCCAAATGTGTTATCACTCGATTAGCTTCATTAAACGCGCGCTATTATATATTTTAACATGGAACAGCTTGGAGCTTTAAATCCTTATCGTCGAACACGCTTTACATTCAGGTAAAAACACGCCGACACTCGCCGTCCTCCAGCCCCGCTCGGTTTAAAGGCGCTTCCATGAGGAGGAAAAGATGAAATGTGAAATGAAATGGGATAAATTTCGAAGTGAAATTTCTCTCACCAGCTCTGATCTCCTGCGGCTCCGGGGCTCGCACTGCGCATGCGCGGGCCCACAGCACAGTCACTGCCTCAGACTGAAACCCGCTCCACTTACAGTAGAGATCGATACGCGAAAAGATCTTTTGATTGCAGTGGCGACCAATCAACACCAGCGTCTCACTTCAAAATGAATTACCGCTTCTGCAAACCACACAAAGGCAGTCCCCCCCCCACCCCCATACCATAGTATATATTATATAATTAGCAGGATATAGGTCATGTCAATGCTGCAGTCAAAAGAAATAAATAAGCAACACCACACAGAGATTTTTTCATTAAGATCTTTAATTGAACATACAATAAAAAAAAGGACATTTTCTGTTAGATCTCATTTGCATGGAGAAAAATACAAATCTATTCCACAACCTGGAGAGAGGGGCAGCATTCTGCAAAGCTGCTTTCAGACATGCACTGAACGGTAAGTTAACACAAAAGTGAGAGGCTCCAGACTTTATCCGACCCTAGTAAAAACTCCTGAGAAAGTCCGAATTGTTCCATATGAGAAAACAGCAGGCAATACTCTGGAGAGTTCGCAACAAAGGCGAAACTGGGGGGGAATACAAATATCACACCAACGTTGATGTCAAGAGCTTTTAGTGATGAGTACAGACGCCGGTGTCAATGTGCTGTAAACAGAAACGCATGGTTTTTGCAGTAGAATACATTACATCCTGCATCCGAACGAGAGATTTTGAGTAGCTGTGAATGCATGAGAGCGGAACATCTCCTGCTGTGTTGTTCATGTGCGAAAGGTTAGCTCTGAAGTCTGCACCAACCTGCGGACATTTTCCAGAGTTCGTGTCTGAAAACGTGTCTGATGATGTTCGCTCTAATATAAACCCACAAGCTGACCTTCCAGAGATTTGTATGATGTACCTTTCCAATACAAAAACACTCCAGTAGTAGCTGTGCACTTTGAATAAGCAGAGGCGAAACCAAACCCTTAACCCTGAAGTAAGCTTGCAGGAAAAAAAATTAAAACTAATTGAAAATCATCAAGGCTGCAATCAGAACTGAGGAAAGCCAAGAAAAATGTGGCGCTGCATTTGACGCCTTGAAACTTCCCAAACTGAAAACCATCACGTAAAACAAAGTGGTCTTCCACAGACTACCTGGTCATGGTTACAAAAAAAGGAATATATCTGTTTGATGCAAGATCTATGTACAAGAGGTTAAAAAGAGGTCATGACACCTACAACACAAGCTGTTCAAACGTGAAATTCAAACCCTTATCGTTTTCCTGCAAATATGAAGTTACAAGTTCTTGCATCCATTTGAGCATTTTAAAGTCCCGCAAGACAACACGAAGATCGATGATTTTTTTGTAAAGCAATTAAGAGACGGCAGATCAAAAGAGAACCTTCTCCAATGCTGTGGCCATATGCTACTTTTCTCCCACAACCACACAGTCAAGTGTATGAAACAGAGAGGTTGCATCAAACAAAGCCTGATGGATGATGCATTTATTAGCAGAGGGAAACTGTCACAATCTACCAACAGAACAAGATCTGTCACAGACTGAGATGATTTAAGTCCAATAAAGAAAACTATTTTTGCTAAGCTATTACAGCTTCAAAAACATGAGACTGGTATAACAAGGTGACATGTTTGAGACAAAGTGACTTAAACTACCTCATGTTGCAGATCTTAAGACTATATACTAGCACTTTATTATCTGAAAATAGAGTGAAAATAAATCTGGGAGGCAGATGATTCAGAGACTCAAGTTTTCCAAAAAAGTAGCCTGGTCACTGTGGCACACCCTCTAATAAAACTGCATCTAAAACATGTTAAAGACAAGTGCACGCTTGCAGGAGAAAAGTAGACAAGTCAGGAAGCATAAGCCTGTATGACGACACTGCTCGTTATGTACAGCATAGGAATCCCTCCCATCTCTCATTCCACTAATCCTGAGAAGCTGATCTAGATCGTGAGCGAGATCTCGAGCGGGAGACTGAGCGCTTCTCCATTGAGTTGGATCGGCGGTCGTTCTCCCGCGGGGATGGGGAGCGGGAAGCAGATTTGGCAGCACGCGCCTCCTTCCCATTCTCCACTGGGGAAGATGATCGACTGCGGGACTTCTTGTCAACGGCCATCTCCTTTGAGCGACTGCGAGAATCCCGCTCTGACTTTGCCTTGGAACGGCTCTTAGAACGGCTCTTGGAACGAGACTTGGATTTACGGTCCGCTGAATGGGAGCGGGACTTGCCGGAGCGTGAATGAGATTTGGATTTGCGGGAACGAGAGTGCGACCTGCGATTGCGAGAATGTGATTTTCTTTCTCCTGACTTGGAGCGAGACTTCCTTCCAGATCTAGAGTTGGCTTGATTTCTCTTGTTGCTGGGGGAACGAGACCTGTAAGTGATAAAAAAAATGCTTATCTTTTGCTACGTGATTTAAGGTTCAGATTTTTTTAAGTTATTAACACAAGATCCAATACACAGTCTTAAAATTACATTTTGTCCGTCAGTGCTTTAAATATTAATCCGTTATCCATTTTCTTTTGCTTTCTAGAGAGATCCTCACCTCGAGCGGGATCTGGAGCGACTCCTGGAGCTCCTGCTCCTGTGGCTTCTGCGGCTCCTACTACGAGAGCGGCGGCGACTGCGAGATCTGAGGATGAGTTAAGGAATTAAGTTAACATACAACATACAGTTTACAGCACAGCCTAGTGTGTCTCCAGTTAGAGAAATGATTGAGCGCTATATTGATCGTACCTGGAGCGACTGCCAGAGTAGGATTTACGTCTACGGGATCGTTCCTCCACAAGACGAATCTTCCGGCCATTGATGTCTGTACCGTCCAGTTTGTCCAGTGCCCTCTTCATGTCCGATTGAGAGCGGAACTCGATTACTCCCTCATTGGTGCGCTCTTTGTGGGCGTCTGCGTAGGTCACTTCCCCTGCTTGGCGCATGAAGTCCTGGAGGGCACAGGCATTTTAGTAAAGGAAAAACATATATATAAAAAAATATATATATATAGTCTGTAATGTGAATGACCTCAACCGAATTGACAAAACACAGTTTGTGAACAATCACATACCTTTAGGTCTTGCCAACTGCAGCGGCTGGACAAGTTCTCCACGACGAGACGGTACTCAGTACGGACCGGGGGTCCATACTTCTCCCTGCCAGTGTGGCTCCGGCTGCTGTAACCACTGCCTTTAAAAACAACAGCACATGAAAAAAGTAAGAACCGACCAAAATGGCCACGTCACAAAGAAATACTGGCCTGGGTTATCAAATCAACACAAGGCAGTGACTTGAAAGAATTAAGACCAAGGGGGTTAAAATTTGAACTTAATAAAAAGAGTAACTCTGATCCCATTTTCAAACAAAGGGCTTCAGATAAAGTGATCAACAGCCACTATTGTTCAGCATTTCGAAGTTGCACTCTGCTGCAAAGAACACCACTGCATCTGTCTCAGGCTCTACAAAACCTGTCTTACTTTCATGCATCACACTGTGACGCTTTAGTTGCATAAACAAATGGACAGTGATGTTCTTTCAAGACCTCTGAACCCTGGAACAAACAGAAAGGAGGCATCCACATAGGTCAAGGACACTGTTCAGTCAAATTAAGAGAGAATGGTGTAGTGAAACCTGTACACCAATCTTTTGGTATAGTCGCTAGACCAAATGTCAGTCTGAAAATATTTTCCACTTACAACATTTCTTTTGCTTGTAAGTTCTTTACTAGAGCCGGTCCACTTATGTTTGCTGTCAACATAGAAACCAATGGCAATTCTCACCATCACCCCTGGTCTATTGGCAAAAGGCTGCTGTCATCATGGCTTCCGGTTAGGTCAGCCAAGGATCAAGGGGGCAAAGGTCACACACACATTGTAAGGTGAAAGGCAAGGCCAAACGGGACAGGCAGTCATCTTAGCCAGTCATCTTTAGCCTCAATGGACTCTCAGCCTCAGCCCGCAACTGGACTCTTTCAAATTGAAACATCAAGGACTTTTGTTAATGTTGAATATGAAAATATAGATATGTATACCAAAGTTAGAAATACACATTTCACAAGAAAATGTTAGTCTAGTTCTATCAATCAAGCTAAAACTACACTAGCTATGTTCGCGGTCATCAATTGTGATGGCTACACTTCTGTGTTGCAAACAAATTTGGAAAGTCAAGCCTTTAAAAACACAAGGCTCACCATCACCATCATCCAAGAGAAGTTTGCAAACCATAGTAACGACGCCTTGCTTTCAAATTACTTTAACTAGCACCATCACTGCAGTCTAAACAAGAGTTCTGCTTTTTGAGGGCTCCAACTTGCAGCTTTTGTTTATACCCAATAATGAACCACAGACCAATTGCGTGTGGCTCATCCGGGAGGAGCAAAAGCCTGCAGGTCACCAACCCTGGATAGTCCAAACTAAGAACCACTCTTCCGCAGGGTGAGATTGGGGAAAAAGTTAAGATATCCTGAGTGACAAAAGTAGATCAGACATTCTCTCCATAGTCAGGTTTACACATCAAATAAATGAGATCATTGGGTCACTACTGATGTAACTAATAAAGGCCCATGCAATCTTTATCATAGTAAATAGGGATTAAAGGTCTGGTTGGTAATAAACCGTAACAGTGTAACCTGGCAATAATCTATTAAACGCTCAAACATCTGTAAAACTTGAGATGCAAGAATCCAATAAACACTGTGTGTGCAGGCCACATCCGACACCTCGCCCCGAGGGGAAGGGGAAGAGGGGGTATCTTGTAATAGACTCCACTTACTGCGCCCACCACCCCCGTAACCCCCACTTTGGCCATCTCGGTCTCTCCGCGGCCCGCGTGCATGTTCGACGATCACCCGCTCCCCGCACAGCTCCTTCCCGTTCAGCTCATACACGGCATCGTCGGCGTCCCGGTTATCTTCAAACTCCACGAATCCATAGCTGAGAAAGAAGGAATACAGAGTTTAAACACGGAGTAAGAACAAAGTCAAAATCAACAGGTTCAATCCTAGTGTGTTCGATCAGTTCGCTCCGATGCGGCTAGCTAGCTAGCTAGCTAGGTTAGCATGGCCCGCTAGCTCCGCGCTGTAGCAAACACAAAGACGACATGTTGGCCATGCGACATTTTCCACACGGGTTAGAACATTGTCGAGGACATGAAGCACAGTTAGGCTCAAAATAATAATAACGTAGCAAATAAAACACACAGATATCGATTGCAAGCTAACGCAAATATTAAACTAAACATATATTTACTTATTACCGTAAGTTTTTTACTTTGGCTGCACTGTCGTATTTAGCATGAGAGGCTAGCAAACGTTAGCTTTCCACCGAAAAACTCACCCGTTCTTTAGATCGACTTCCATGAGTTTCCCGTATCCGCTGAAAAATCGCTGGATGTCTTTTTCGCGGACATTGTAGCTCAGTCGCCCGATGTACACCCGAGGCATGATCTCCCGCTTTTAGATGATATCGTTTCGGACAGTTTCTTCTCACAGGTCGCTGTTGAAAGGGACGATGCCGCCGCGCAGAGTGAGATTAGCCGCTGGCGTCTCAGCTAACATATTGTCTGCGACCGCACCGGATCAGCCAATCAGCGTCAGGCTAGAGATCACACGGTTCCGGTACGGAGTATCAAATTAAAAGCTCCACTTTATTCATTTGTATCATAGACGGACAGACAAACAGTCAGACAGATCGATCGATCACAATTTGGGAAATAATTGTGTTCCAGCAGTATGTCAAGAGCAAAGAACAAAAGTTTAAATGCAAAAGACGACAAAACGGACAACTTGCAATAGTTGTTTGAAATTGCAGTCGTTGTTTGAGTTAGGTTAAAGTTAGGGACATGACACACGTTGAAAGTTCTCAACTTCCTCAGGAAATAGAGTCTGCTCATCCCTTTCTTGTACACAGCGTCAGTGTTGGTTTTCTGCTTTAGTCCATTATTGATGTGGACATCCAGGTGCTTGTAATTTATTCACAAAGGCAAGCATTGCATCAAAAATAAACTAATAAAGTTTAAAAAAGTATAAGCAGTAAAATATGGCCTTATAACAATATAGATTGATGTCTCCATCCCTATGCAAGTGGTTCAAGTGGTATTGACTGAGTACTTTACTACTAATTTAATTTGTGCACCACTAGGCGATGCATTGCAGGGGCCCATTTAGAGCGAGTGGTCAACTGACCAAAAAAACGTCTGTTTTTCAACAGCTTGCTAAAACTGCTCTCAGAGCCACAAATGGAGGTTGTCAGACATGATTTTAATTTGAAAAAAAAATAGAGTTTGTTTCTTTCGCAGATATGTAACTATGACATCTATAGGACCTATACTTTTAGCTGTATCATTTTTAAAAAAAGAGTTTTCCGGATTCACCTCTCCATTGGATGCCATGTTAATTTTGAAAAAAAGGTCAGAGAGGAGAACAGCAGTCAACATTTTCTAACTCACTCCCATGGTCACATTTCTTATCTCTCACCAATAAAAAATACATCTGTACGTCCGGGGAAGTCTTGGGATTCTCGCAGTGTTTTTATTTCACAGATTTAAAGTTTTTGAGTAACAAGCATTTGTTTTAAGACTGGTGCTAGAGCACAGCACTCTCTCTTCCCCATTGGCTCTAATGTTAATCTTGAAAGTAAATTCCCGATGAGAAAACTAAATTTCTAACTCGCTCCCACAGTCCCATTTCTTAACTCTAACCAATAAAAAAATATATGTGTATGTCTTCGTGTCTCTCCCAACTGGGAGATAACAAGTGCACACAATCAAGTCAGTGAGTATCCATAGCAACCACATACGCATGCAGAGGAGAGGGCTCCTCTTTATATTTACTGATTTAGTCCAGTGGCTAAATCACTTGCCCAGTGATGCAATGGCAAGGGGTCAAGACTGAGTGAGGACAGGAGCTTCTGTTTCAGCCCCCCCACCCCCATAGTAACAGGATGATACCAAGAAACCTGTAAAGAGCCTGGATTTTCAAAATAAGCCCCCCCACCCCCATAGTAACAGGATGATACCAAGAAACCTGTAAAGAGCCTGGATTTTCAAAAAAAAGCCCCCCCACCCCCATAGTAACAGGATGATACCAGGAAACCTGGAAAGTAAAAACAGGATTTGCTATTTATTGTGTGGTATTTGACTGTTGATTAGATTATTAAAGATTATTAAAGTGTAATGGTTATGGTTGATCTTGTACTTCAGGTTAATAAAATCATGTAGAAATTATTGATAGGTATAAAACCTGTGGCACTTGTACACCTGTCGTATGAAATCAAAAAAGTTCAAATATCCTTTACGCTCTGCACGAATTGAGCTCAATAAAATTATTTATTAAATTATTATAATAGACTACACCACAGACACTGAAAGTAGGGGTTCCAATGTTAAAGTTTACAGCATTTTGAGTTTTCTGTGTAGCCAATCTGATGCATAAATGTAGTTTGTGATGCAGATGGTAAATGTAGTACGATCACAGGTTTTAGTGATGATAATAGTATGTTAAGAGACATCTAAAAAAAAAAGGTGAGTTTTGCCCCTCAGTACACCCCTGCTGTTGTTTAAAATGTTGTTGAGCATGCAAATGAATTTAATATGACAGGATTCACAAGTTGTGTTCTGTACATAAGAAACTGTAGTGTGGATGTTAAGTACAGACAAAGCAGTAATGGAGAGAGAGAATAAGATTTTATTTTTGTAAAAACCAGGTTTTAAAATGATTCCAGTCAGACGACATCCACTTTTTTCCAAACAAGAAGGGAAGCAGTATCGTTGGTCTGAAACTCTTCATATACTAGCTAGCCTGTGTTGTGAATTTCTTGATTCACACTGATTCACTATGACCTGCATTCGTTTTCAGAGACCGTCATTAGCTCAAGAAATCTTCTTCTTGAAAAAATTTATCGAATCAATTTTCACTTCTTTCTAATCAAATCTTTAGAGTTTGACAAATTGTGTTATCCTAAACCTTTGAAGTCAAAAAAATGATAAAGTACACAGCTGTTCATCAATGTCTCAAAAGCACTCCAACACTTTATAATTTCCGTTTCTGGCTCACATACAACGTCTCTCTAAGTCTTCAGTGAGAAGGTGCTCTCTCTATCGTCAACCCCTGCAAGTTTGACTTTGTAATTTTCTACTGTAATACAATCCGTGACAAATCTCTCTGTATGTACTCCAACCTGGTGACTTTGAATTTTATCTTTGCTCCGGCAAAAAAATCTACTCTGGAGTGGCAGTTTTGTGATTCAGGGCCAGACCAGACACAGAAATTCAACCTTCAGTTTAACCGATGTTGAGCTCAAGAATAAAGAAGTGAACTGTTGTTGCAGAAATTACAATTTGGCTGGTTAGATGGAGAAATGTATTCATGTGTGTTGTATGCAAGGTAGGAGAATGAATGCGGAAGAATAGGAGCCGTGTTGAATCAGAATCAAGAATCACAGCAAATGGGAAGAAAAAAAACCTTGGAGGTGGAGGGTTCATCAGCAAGATAACAAATCAAATCCAACAGTGTATGTGGAATACATCATCTGCCTACAACACCTGATCCCCATGCGTCAACTTTAGATACTCTCTCACTCCCTGCCTGGTCAGGCCATGACACAGCTAACAGACAGCCAAACCCTCCCGCAGTTCGATTCAGAGAGTCCTTTTAGCAAATCAAGGGGCGCCCCAACCCAGCTCCAGCCCTTCTGACGAGGAAAGGGGAGGCATAGAGAGGAGCGGGGAGCCCAGTTTTGTTGGCCTTTAGTTGGCTTTGGCGCGGAGCTGCGCCCTCTTGCCCGTCACAGCCTGGAAACCGGTCTTGATGCTGGCGACTGAGCAGCGGGAGTGGCAGGTCTCACACTGCAAGAAATAGAGGCGAGTGTCTTTCTGCAGGATGGTCTCAGGGGAGCGGCAGGTGTGACACGTCACGTATTCCTCTGAAGGTGAGAACAGTTATTAGCACTGCAGCAAGCAAGAGTTCCCGATAACTAACTATTTTAAAACATAAACAGTAGTAAGTAGTAAAGTAAAGAGAATATAGCTATGATTTTATAAAAACCTGAAGGGGAATTCTGGTATTTTTCAACTTGGGCTCTGGAGGTTACATTTATAAATGTGGATATGAAAGTTGATCGTACTTACAAAACCTTTTTTTATTAATAAAAGGCAGAAATTGTCATTGACTGTTGCCCTATAGGATTTCATTGTAGCCACAACTGCAGTGTCGACCACCAGCTGCTGGTGGAGAAAATCTACTGGACCGATTCCAAAAGTTTTGCGAGCACTGCTCATGTTCTAAAACATTTACACACCCACATTTAGAAACAAAGGACCCAGTTGAAGAATACCTGAATTCACCTCTCTCAATATTCTGAACGAGAACCCAGAGTTGGGATGAATGATTAAAAATGAATGAATCAAACCTATTCATACTTTTATAACAAAAGGGCCTGTATAGAAAAATCATCACTTTCTGGAAATGAGATCAAATCGTGAATAATTTCTATTAATAAACCGTTTTTTAACTTCTACTTGTTCCTGTGAAGATGAGTTACATTTACATCTTCGATAGAGTTTAATGTGAAATTAGAAATACATCATCACTTATAGACCTTGAAGGAGTTTAAGTTTTAATTATCATTTCATTAAGGCAAATAAAATGTTAAATTCCCACTTACTGATATATCTTCTCAACACGTTTTCTATCTGTTTCTGTTGAAATCTGCCTTTAATCACGAGCTGGTTATTTCCGTCTATGGAACCACTGTTGACAGAAACAGATCCAACTTTCAGGGCAGTGCACACATACGTTTGCTGTCATTTGAGAAGTCTACACAGTAAATACAAAGACATACCTTGTTCCAAGCTCAGCCAACAGGAAGGCGAGGAGATGTTTAGGTTGACGATGCAACCTGGGATGAAATACACGAAAGGTCAGTTTGTAGATAGTGACACCATTTGTCGAGGACAGCGGGTTTGATACTTGGATAATATGATTTGGTTTCCGTCAAACTTTATCGGACATTCAAAGTGAAGTGAGATCGACAGTAACAGTGAGGGAGGTCGGTGTGTACGGGGTGAGAGAGACTCACAGTTTGCAGATGTCTGTGAAGTTGACAAAGGAGGTTTTCTTGGTTCCCACTCGCACCACCTGAGGAGGCTTCATAACAAACTTCCTCTTCTCTCCGGCCACCATGTCTGGGTTCTTCTCCCTCATGATGTTGAAGACTCGGTTCAGGAGCTGAACACAGATACCGCAAGAGTTACGCCGACTGTATCTGACAGTATCTACACCAGGATCTTTCATGACACTTGTTGACCAAAAGGTTTTTGAGACAGGAGTGGGGGTCATTCTACTTTGTTTTAGTTTTAAAACACATCACTGTTGCTAGATTCATGTCTAATGACCATAATACTGAAACTGACTGTTTGGAAAAGTTGTTGACCCTGTTTAAGTTTAAAATCTCTGGGGCTGTGTTGTAGTATGGACAGCCATACTTTTTGCTATTGCTGTTCCTAATTCATAGTATTTTGAGTAATTAAGCAATTGACTGCAGAGTAGACAATCGAGTATATAGGTGTGTGTGTGTATTAGTAAACTGCGTGTGCAGCGTCTGT